TACATGAAGATAAGGGTTTTTGTGAATGCAAATAGATGCGATTCCAATTTTTGTAGGTGCAATTACAGAAGCCTGTTGAAAGTTTGACCCTTAAAAGATTCTTTCCATGTTCAAATTTGAGCCATAAACCATTGGATAAATATAACACATGGCCTGTCCTTTCATGCATGGTAATTTCTCCAAGCAATGTTTTTGCATTATGTGTGTTCTTTTGTAGAAGAGAGCCTTAATGATTATAATTTGCCATCCAGAACTTTATAGCTAGCCCTTGTCGAAAACAGTGTTTCTGCCAAAAAGCTTCCTGCCCAGGTGCTTAACCAATTAGCTCTTAAGAGGTCTGGCAGTAAAACCAGTCATGGCAAGTTTTCTGATGTACTGTATATAAGGTGACAGCTTGCAAAATGTAAGATGAAAATTTGTTTTCTTAACAAGCAGTGTGTAAATCCTGGGAGACTATTTGATTGCTTTGCCTAAAACACTTATGACATCTCATATTCCCAGTTGATATAGTGTGGTTTTAACAATGTTGTCAAATTAAACATATTTTATTTTGTTTTTATATATACTCTAAAGACAATTTATTTAATTGTGATTTGGGCATTGCAAATGCATAGTAGGCATGGACTAACCTAAGAGTTTGAAGTTTGGTAAGCTTCAAACTTTTCCAAGCATTTTGCTAACTCACAAAATGTATTCAAGCTTTGAGAGAGCTGTTTTTCCCGAAAATTATACCCAACGTTTTTCATTGGACATAAGATTAAAAACGTGTTTTTACAATGTTACAACTAGGGCTATCAATTAATCGCAGTTAACTCACGCAATTAACTCAAAAAAATTAATCACGATGAATAGCAGTTTTAATTGCACTGTTAAACAATAGTATACCAATTTAAATGTATTGAATATTTTGGATGTTTTTCTACATTTTCATATATATTATATTCTGTGGTTGAGATCAAGGTATATATTATTTTTGATTACATATATTTGCACTGTAAAAATGATAAACAAAAGAAATAGTGTTTTTCAATTCACCTCATACAAGTACTGTAGTACAATCTCTTTGTCGTGAAAGTGCAACTTACAAATGTAGATTTTTTTTATTACATAACTGCACTCAAAAACAAAACAATGTAAAACTTCAGAGCCTACAAGTCCACTCAGTCCTACTTCTTGTTCAGCCAATCGCTAAGACAAACAAGTTTGTTTACATTTAAAGAAGATAATGTTGCCCTCTTCTTACATACAATGTCACCAGAAAGTGAGAACAGGCATTTGCATGGCACTTTTGTAGCCAGCATCGCGTGGTATTTACGTGCCAGATATGCTAAACATTCATATACCCCTTCATGCTTCAGCCACCAATCCAGAGGACATGCTTCCATGCTGATGATGCTCATTAAAAAGATAATGCATTAATTAAATTTGTGACTGAACTCCTTGGGGGATGGGGGGGAATTGCATGTCCCCTGCTCTGTTTTACCCGCATTCTGCCACATATTTCATGTTATAGCAGTCGCAGACGATGACCCAGCACATGTTCATTTTAAGAACACTTTCATCGCAGATTTCACAAAACCCAAAGAAGGTACCAATGTGAGATTTCTAAAGATAGCTACAGCATTTGACCCAACGTTTAAGAATCTGAAATGCCTTCCAAAAACTGAGAGGGATGAGGTGTGGAGCCTGCTTTCAGAAGTCTTAAAAGACCAACACTCTGATATGGAAACTACAGAACCCAAACCACCAAAAAAGAAAATCAACCTTCTGCTGGTGGCATCTGACTCAGATAATGAAAATGAACATGTCGGTCCACACTGCTTTGGACTGTTATCGAGCAGAACCCGTCATCAGCATGGACGCATGTCCCCTGGAATGGTGGTTGAAGCATGAAGGGACATATGAATCTTTAGCACCTCTGGCAAGTAAATATCTTGCAACACCAGCTACAGCAGTGCCTCTTTTCACTTTCAGGTGCCATTGTAAACAAAAAGTGGGCAGCATTATCTCCTGCAAATATAAACAAACTTGTTTGTCTGAGTGGTTGGCTGAATTAAGTGGCTTACAAGAAGTAGGACTGAGTGGACTTTGTTTTATTTTTGAATGCAGGTTTTTTTGTACATAATTCTACATTTGTAAATTCAACTTTCATGATAAAGAGATTGCACTACAGTACTTGTATTAGGTGAATTGAAAAATAGTATTTCTTTTGTTTTTTTTACAGTGCATATACTTGTAATAAAAAATAAATATAAAGTGAGCACTGTACACTTTGTATTCTGTGTTGTAATTGAAATCAATATATTTGAAAATGTAGAAAACGTCGAAAAATATTTAAATAAATGGTATTCTATTCTTGTTTAACAGTGCAATTAATCATGCTTAATTTTTTAAATCATGTGATTAATCGTGATTAATTTTTTTAATCGCTTGACAGCCCTAGTTACAACATAAGATAGACCAACAGTTGCTAATTCAAACCCCCTAAGGGAAGGCTAGACACACAGTGGTAATAAGGTCAAAGTCTCACTGGGGGGGCTCTCTATGTTATTTTCCTGCCTGCAGCACCCAGCTCGGTATCTTTCTGCTAAAGATACTTCTAGTCCCCTGCCAGCAACAGGGTGTGTGTCTGACTCATAGCCTTCAGGATGCCTGCTGCCTGGCCTTCCCTCTGCAGCCAGCTCCCAGGCAGCCTCCAGCTCTCTCCCAAGTCCAGTCCCCTCAAACCTCAGGCTGTAGTTCCATTTTCTGACCCTTGGGATTTAGAGAGCCCTCTGCTGGCTGGATGTTCCAACAGCGGAAGGGTGGGGGCAGAGTCACAATGCAGAGAAACAAGTGAACCAGTTCATGCCATCACATTTGAAGGTGGGAACTTTAGACGTTCAAGAGCTAAAGCACCGTTGTCAGGGCAGCAGGATTCCCTTTCTCCCCATTACTCAGACTGACAGGTTCTGATTTCCCTACAGTGTATTTCTAATCCCTACAAAACGCCCCAAGTTCAGGAGGCTGCTGAGAAGCAGGACAGTAATTGTGGGGGTCCTTGCTTTGAGAAAAGGAAGGAGGTTGCTGAACGCAGTGGGGTCAGGCAGGGAAGGTGCTGAGTGGAGAAGCAACTAAGCAGGGAGCAGATGCTCAGCCAGAATGAGGCAGGGAAACTGTTTGGTGGGATGTTAGAGATGGGTGAGGTCACATCTTTTATTGGACCAGCTTCTGTTGGTGAGAGAGAGAAGCTTTCGAGCTACACACAGCTCTTCTTTAAGCTCTGTATGAACTTGGAAGCCTGTCTCTCTCTCCCTCCAACAGAAGTTGGTGCAATAAAAGATGTGATCTTACCCACCTTGTCTCTCTAATACCCTGGGACCAACATGGTTACAATACTGCATACAACAGTGGGATGCCAGCAGGGAAGTTGATCAGGGAAGAGGCGCTATGGAGCCAGATGGGCAGCTACAAGGAGGAAGAGAGTTAAAACAAATCCTTTCAACTAAGCTATCTCCGGCCCAGCTTGCCTCCTCCCCTGCCTGTCCACAGCTGCCTTGTCTCTTTCCCCACCCCACCCCAAATGCACACACTGAACAATTTCCCTTCCCTAGTCTGTTTTCGTTCTTACTCCACATTCAGCTGCTCCCGTTCCTAGACCCAATGTTCTTTTCAGCGCATCCTCTCTCATTTCCTTTTCTTCTCCCCTTCCAACAACAACCCCTAGTATCTCTCCTTACACCCCCACCCCAGTAACCTGGCCTGAGTATCCCTCATCCCGACACTGGCTTCCCAGCATCACCTGGGTTTGGATCTTCCTTTTGAAGGAGGGAGCAGGAAATTCCAGGTTCCCACCTACTGCTGCTTATCATGGAGCAGCATTCAACTAGTGGAGTCAGCTAAGAAAAATAGAGGAAAAAAGGTTAAAATAAAACACTTGTTTTTTACTTAAAAAATAAACTATATTATTGTCCTATGGGCAGGTGCCTCTGCAATTTGAAGCATTTTACTAGCAGATCTGGTCCTAAAAAGGTGTGGGGGGGTGCTTGCTTGGTGAAAAACTTCGAAAGAAACAAAATTTTTTGAATTTGTTTTCATTCAGGTGAGACACCCCCTATGTGTAGGAGAAGTTAAAGTTTAAAAGTGAGAGAATTTTTTTCTCACTTAAAATATTGCGAATAAATTATTTTCAAACTAAAATCATTAGAATTAAGAACAGGACTAACCACACTTTAAGTGGATCATTGAGGTAAGATCACTGCATATATAGATTGCTCTGCTTCTGAGTAGACGACAAATTCTTCTGTAGAACAGGAAGAGGGTTAATTGGGGGCATGAAAGAACTCTCATATACAAAGAGATTGAAAAGACTGTGATTATTTACCTTAGAAAGGAGACAAACAAGTCAGGATGTGATAAAAGTATACAAAATAATGAATAATTTACAGAATGCAGATCTGGACCATCTGTTCTCCCTATCTCATAACACAAGAACAAGGAGGTATTCAATTAATTTGAAAGGTGGAAAATTCAAAACTGATCAAAGGAAATACTGTTCACACAACACACAATTAGACTATGGAACTCATTACCACATGAGGTTGTTAAAGCCAAGAATGTAATAAGATACAAAGAGGGAATGGACAACATGAATTATTGCTCCAGGTTCTGATCACCTCCTTCTGCAGGTAAAACAGCAGGAGCGGGCTAAGAGAGAGTAAATCTAATAGGGTCTCTTTGCAGACCTCTCCCTAATTGTTCTGTCAGGAAGCAGCGCTTGCCAGCTCACAAACCTTGTGGATCTTGGGGATTAGAGGGAGACCAATGAACAAGTTCTCTGCTGGCTCATTCTGTACTATATTGTGGGGAGGGGGGCAGGAGGGGATTTCTGCAGGACTGGTGGGGAAGGAAGATGCACAGTTTCATTTGCATGTGTCTGAGCTTGTTGTGTTTCATTTCCTTGTGCGTTCAAGCTTCTTTTCAATTTAAGACAAGATGAATTATGACTGTTATGTTTTCAGAGGGAAAATGTAATAGAAAAATGTGATGGCAAACCTCCTAGAAACCTGAATCAAGATGCAGATATTCAGATTTCCCAAAAGGCTGAATTGGTCATAACAGAAAACCTCAACAACTATGACAATAAGACATTTCCTTCTGCATTAACCCCAGCAATTCCAGATGCCATTCAAGAAGATGAAATTGCAATTACTTTAGATAACCAAGAAAAGTTACCAGAAGGTACTGTACTAAAATCTATTAATGGCTTATTAATCTGAAAATGTTCCTTTAGCACAAGTCAGTAAAAAGTGAAAATTTTATGGGGTTTTTTTTAGAAATTTTCCCCATTTTTTTTGAGGGGGAGGAGAGAGTTCAAAAAATTTAGCTCAGCTCCAGTTCTCTAGCTTCCCACAGTTTTCCCCTCATAGAACTATCTCCAGCATTACACTAAATGCACATTCTGTTTGTTACCCCAGAACAGATTTTTAAAGACTTGGAAGTGTGCGCTCCCCTAACTAAGTCAATGTGAAGGAGATTTAGGGACTGATCTTGCATTCACTGAAGACAGTGGTAGAACACCATTTTGAAACAGAGAGGAGTGTGATGGGAAAGAACAAGGTCCACCCATATCCACCTTCCTCTGCAACAAGAGATATGCCCAAGAGATGATAATCAATGCTCAAAAAAAATCATTCAATATGTCCAAGGGCCTTGCCATTACACTCTTGGAGGAATTCTTTCCTGATCCCAAGTTTTGGTGATCAATTTGAAAACTTTGTACATGTAAGAAAGAATAGCCATAACTAAGCATCAACCCAATTGTTACTCTGGAGACTAGCGATTGTGGGTGCTTCAGTCTTGAACGCCAGCATTTTAAAAGGGGTCAGATTTTCAGAGTGTTGATCAGCTCTCCTCTGAAAATCAGGATACTTTAAAGCATCTAAAGTTGGCAACTAAAATCACTAGTTACTTTTGAAAGCATACGTGTAAACTTATGGCACTATATCAAGTTTTTTTTATTATTGATAATATTGCAAAAACTCTACTAACAGTCAGCAAAATTCACAGTCCCAAGGGGAAGTACTTTCAGTAATAACTTGTTACTTTTATTGACGCTACCATTTCAGCGTGAACTGATCTTATCCATTCTATATTCCATTTAGTTTCCAAGTTTGCAGATAGAGAATGGGTTCATCTTGAACCTCCGAAATCACCAAATAAAAATAATTCATGTGAGCCAATGAATCAGCCACTTTTGGATCTGCAGGAGAATTTGGATGATTATAAAGACTTAGTTGAAGTGAGGAAATCATATCTTCCTGAGAAACCACCTCCTACATTAGTAAATAACCTAACAGATTCTGCAAACCACCAGACTCAAAGATCTGCAATGTCATGTACAAGCAGAGTAACACCACGGTCTCTAACAGAAAATAGAGTTGTAGACCATAGTCCTACACCTCATCAGGACACAAGATTTAAAGACCTTCTCAAAGCAATGGATGAGACCACTCCAACCCCAACATGGTTGTATTCAGAAAAGGAAAGTCCTAATCTACTAATGATTGAAACACCACAACTTTCCCCTTTACCCAGGCTGAGACAAGCTGCCTGGAGAGACACCATAGTTAAAAAGATTTCATGTTTGGGAACATCACAGCAACAAACAAGTGGCTCCCCTCCATTTTTGGTCAATGGCTCAAGACCACCAATTTCCCCTATATCCCAACAGCAAACACATATGGTAAGAAGTTTGAGGCAATCTAAAGAAAATCCAAGAACCTTTTTCAACAACAACATGAAGATTAAGAGAAACTTAGTCCAACTGAAGCATACCCATAAAGTTACAGACCTGAATCTTCCAGTATTATCTCCACCCTACCAAACCAGGTCAGGGAAAAAGTCTGAGATTTTAAGGTTAGATTTTGCATAAATACAGTGCACAGCAATATAAGAGAAAAAGGAGGGGTGTGTGTGTGAGAGAGAGAGAGAAAATAACAGCATCTATAAACTTTCCACAAAGTATAAAGCTGATAGGTTTTAGCTGAATACCATGATGTCACATGATGTCAAAGTCTGTTTAATGTAGATGCAAAATTTGAGGTTGTAAGAAGACGTGAAATTCTGTGGCCTGCGTTGTGCAGGAGGTCAGAATAGATTATCATAATAGTCCCTTCTGACCTAAATACCTATGAATCTCTGAATCTATAAGACAATTCACAATAATATTTGATTGTGAATTTTTTGTGTCTATATACATTGTTTGCACCCAAACTGTGGATCACTGTGTTAGGGCAAAAGATCCAGAAAATGAAACTGACTAGTCTATTTTGATTGTCCTAGCTGAATACAGAGCAAATGTAAACAAATTGTTATAAGGATGGAAAACTAGATTTTAAAAATCCTCTTTCCATTTTAATAAACTATAGCATTAGTAAGACATGTCAGGAATTTTTTTATATTAGCTATATGAATTTTAACCAGTGGCACTTTAACCCAACTATGTTCCAAAACAGAGAAGACCAAATTTTGCATCCAGCTTCACTGCATTAATTAATTAATTAGGGCTATACACATGTGACAAAGTAAAATGTATCCCTTTTGTTTTAAATTCCAATGATTCATCCTCCTTATTTACATTTCCTTTTTCTTATTAGTAGACTTTGGGCCTAATTCTCTTCTCAACCCAATATAACTTCCTTGACGTCAGGAGTTACTCTTCATTGATACTTGTGTGAGCAAGAAGAGAATCAGGTTTTGTGTTTGCAGCTTTGCAATGTCTATGTGAGGTGTGAGCATACAAGTTAAGGGTTACAAAGGATTTCTAAACTGTATTTGTGTAAGCAGTGCATTGTGTGTCATCTTGTCAAGATTTGCCCTCCCATATTTCTACCAACATGACTGCCATACAGAGAACACACTGGGAAGGTCTTTGGAGGGAGATAAAGAATGAGTCTAAATGTGAAAAATGTGTAAATTTCAAATACCAGTGTGTAAGATCTGTATAAGATCCAGCAGTCAGAAAGACTGTGCAGCCACTTGTGAATTCTGCTGTTTTTTTTCTGAGAGATGGACAAATTTCACCTCCAAGAGCAACAATAGAGTATAATATTTAGAGTGATACAAAGAAGGTATATCCATGGAGCCCACAGTAATTGAATTGAGTGCTCAAGAGCCTTATTCTGCCCTGCCCGGGCCAAGATTCAGGAAGAGTATCCCTATGCAGGATAGCACTTAAGCACATGCTTCAGTTCCCCATTGAAGGCAATGGAACTTGAGCATATATTGAAAATTAAGCATGTGAATAAGGGCTTTCCTGAACTAGGGCCACACATGTGTGTAACTCCGAGAATTGGGCAATTAGCTTATATATTATCTTCATTATTAAAGCTGGATGGATATTTCACAGCCAAACTGGCTTTGTAAACATTTCCCCCCTAATTTACAAAATTTTGTTAATTCATTCTAAGCTTGTCAATCTTGTAGTCAGTTTCCTAAGGTTTTGTCAGAAAAAAGGGGGGGGGGGAAATAAACAAGATTTGACTCCATTTTTTGGTAAAAGTAGGCTGGTGGACTAGGGTTGCCAATTTTCTAATCAAACGAAACCAAACATCCTTGCCCCGTCCCCTGCCTTGCACTTCTCCGAGGCCCTGCCCCTTCTCTGAGGCCCCACCTCTTGCTCATTCCATCCCACCTCCCTCCATCGCTCACTCTCCCCCACCCTCACTCACTTTCGCTGGGTTGGGGCAGGGAATTGGTGTGCGGGAGGGAGGTCTCCAGCTGAGGGTGCAGGCTCCAAGGTGGGGGCAGAAATTAGGGGTTCATGGCTCCAGTGTGGGGCAGAGGGTTGGGGTGTGGAAGAGAGTGCATGCTGCGGTTGGGTGGTGCTTACCTCAGTTGGCTTCCGGAATCAGATAGCATGTCCAGCTCCTAGGCGGAGGGGTATCCAGGGGCTTCTGCACGCTGCCCCTGTCCACAGGCGCCACCACAGTAGCTTCCGTGGGCCGTGGTTCCCAGCGGCAGCATTCAGAGCTCCCATGGCCAGCCCTCTGCCTAGGAGCTGGATATGCCGGCTGCTTCCAGGAGCCACGCACCGCCAACTGACATTTTAGCGGCCCAGTCAGCAGTGTTGAACAGAGCCGCCAGGGTCCCTTTTCGACTGGGCATTCCGGTCAAAAACTGGATGCCTGGCAACCCTATGGGGGACAGTGGTGACATACTAAATATATGGTTCTGCTGGCGGAGAGAAGGCAAGCAGCAGTGTCTTCTAAGAAATGCAGACAACAACAAATAAGAAAAGATGTTAAAAATGTAAGAACCTCCATTTTCGTGCACCACTGGTTTTCCAGAGACCCTGACTGTACCTCATGCCTCCCTTAGTTATAGGGTTTTAGGCCCTGTTTCAGCACGGTACTCACACGCGCATGCCTAACTGTAAGCAAATGAGTAGTGCCCTGAACCTGAATTGTGAAATGTCAGAATTTTTACTTCAGTGGGACTACACATATGCTTAACGTCAGGCATGTGTTAAGTACCTTGCTGACACATGGCTTTACTGCCTACCTAAGGCCTGATTCTGCAAACACGCACTTGGGTAACTTTTCAGGGGACTACTCAAGTTATCCAAATGTGAGTTTGAAGGAATGGACCCCTAGTTTACATATATCATGTTCCAAACAATTATTTGAAATACAGAAGTCAAAGGTGGCATTTTAAAATCTTAAAGAGGAATTCCTAAGTGCTAACACAGTATTTTTCAGAAGGCATATGGAAATGGATAAAGGCAGCCAGATACAGCATATTAAGTTCTGCTCTCAGTTGCACTCATTGACTTCAAGAGAGTTGCCTGGCATAACTGAAAGCAGAATATGGCCTTGTATGTGCATCCTGTTGCTCCACATGAGTTGTACACAATATATCAACTTAAGTTTCTTATTTGCTTACATCCCGTGCAACCCCAAGTAGACTAATGACATAGGTCAGCTCACAATTTGTACCACTGTCTTTCTGATTTTATACTACAGACCAGGTATAAAACAGGTCAGCAGTTACACATGAATTCTGACCTGCTTGAAGGACAGAATGATTGTGCCTTCCAGGAAACTTTGCTGTATAAAGTGTGGCAGCCAAAAAGTGCTATTGCTAAAAAGGCAGCCAAGGACTTTAAGAGCTAAAAGTTCACTTTTTACTTTACAAATGTTTTTAAATCAAAATATTTCACATTGTTACATACAGAAAACGTAAGTAGACAACATTCAGTGAGGACCAACAAACTGCCTTGGGGCCACATTGCCAGCCCCTCACTCCACAACTGACTCCTGTGGGGTCACTTCTGGTATGGGGTACTAGTCAGTGGGAGTAAGAGTTTCCAGCCCGCCCTTAAAGTGTTAATTTCTCAACATTAATAAAACCCATTAGAACAGATAGTAAAATTGTTTTGTGAAAAATTTGTCCCTTACTTTTAAATTTAAAAAATGTTTTTGACCAGCTCTAAAAATTACATCATCATATTTTTTAACATAGGACCATGGTCTAATACCCATACCCATGAGATATATATATATTGCATCTTACCTATCAACTAGAACCATTGATTTGTGGTCCAGTGGTTAGGATACTGGCCTAGGACTTGGCAGACCTGCATTCAATTTCCTGCTCCACTACAGACTTCCTATGTGATCTTGGACAAGTCACTGAGCCTCTCTGTGCCTCAATTCTGTAAAAATGAGTATGAGAGCACTTTCTTACCTCCCAGGGGTATACTAGGACTTTAGGTCGAATTTAGCAGCGTTAAATCGATGTAAACCTGCACCCGTCCACACGATGAAGCCCTTTATTTCAACTTAAAGGGCTCTTAAAATTGATTTCCTTACTCCACCCCTGACAAGTGGATTAGCGCTGAAATCGGCCTTGCCGGGTCGAATTTGGGGTACTGTGAACACAATTCGACGGTATTGGCCTCCGGGAGCTATCCCAGAGTGCTCCATTGTGACTGCTCTGGACAGCACTCGCAACTCAGATGCACGATTGTTTGCCGTTGCTCTGACGCAGGGAGGGGCGACTGACGACACGGCTTACAGGGTTGGCTTACAGGAAGTTAAAATCAACAAAGGGGGTGGCTTTACATCAAGGAGTATTTCAGGCAGGACTTCATGGAGGGTTCCAATAAGAAATGGTGCACCTAAGTTATTGTTCTTATTGGAACAAGAAGGTTACTCTGGCCTCTGATTGATACATGGCTAGATTTACCTCGCTGCACCTTCTCTGTGAGTGACTGCAGTGTGACCTAGAGGAATGAGACCCCTAAACAGAGGTGGCGGGGGGGTTGCAAATAAGTACAAAACAAATCTGGTCTATTTCTTGTTTTGATCCACTCCATCTATCTTTTACATCTTTGGCTGGCAGCAGACAGTGCAGAAGGACTGCATGCCATCCACATCTCATGGCTGCTCAGCAGAAGATGGTACAATAGGACAGCTAGCCATCCTCATCTCTTGCCTGCCCAGCAGAAGATGATGCAATAGGACTGCTAGCAATCCGTATCACCTGCCTGCTCACCATAAGATGGTTCAATAGGACTGACTGCAGGACTAAAGAGAATGACCTGATCAAGTCACTCCAAATTTAGTCCCTGCACCCATCTCTGCCCAGGCGCTCCTGATGGACCTCACACAGGCGACCAGGAGCACCTCGGACATGACAATGACGGCTACCAGTCCTATTGCACTGTCTGCTGCCACAAGGCAATGGGTTGCTGCTGCTGTGTACCAATGCAGTACCACGTCTGCCAGCACCCAGGAGACATACTGTGACAGTGAGCTGAGCGGGCTCCATGCTTGCCGTGGTATGGCGTCTGCACAGGTAAATCAGGAAAAAAGGCGCGAAACAATTGTCTGCCCTTGCTTTCATGGAGGGAGGGAGGGAACGGGGGCCTGACGATATGTACCCAGAACCACCCGCGACAATGTTTTAGCCCCATCAGGCATTGGGATCTCAACCCAGAATTCCAGTGGGCAGCGGAGACTGGGGGAACTGTGGGATAGCTACCCACAGTGCAACGCTCCGGAAGTGGACGCTAGCCTCGGTACTGTGGAAGCACTCCGCCGAGTTAATGCACTTAGAGCATTTTCTGTGGGGACACACACACTCGAATATATAAAACCGATTTCTAAAAAACCGACTTCTATAAATTCGACCTAATTTCATAGTGTAGACATACCCTAAGGATGGTAGTATCTAGCCATGGCATATGAAAGATCTGCTGTCTCAAATAAAACCAAACTTGTATTCATTATGCTCAGTCACTGGTAGCAGTCTTTTCTTTTTTCTATATTTCACGTATCAAAGCTGTGCGCATCTATTCTGCTTTCATGAGGAGCATCTCTAAAATCTGTGCCATAAGAAGTCAGTGTATAACTATATACAGTTGGAGTTTTTTCAATTATTATTGTTATAACTAGCAGTGCTTAACTGTACCATTGTGTTTACTATGAGCCAGAGCTGACTTCAGTGGGACTGCTCATGGTGTAAGGTACTATTCAACATGAGCAAGAGAATCACAATCTGTCCCTTAGGGAAATGGAAAGGACACTCAAATTGATTGTATGGGTGCAAAATAGTATTAAAGTTAAAAGTGAAATGGAAATCTTTAAAAGAAATACAGAAAACCATGTATAATTATCAATAAATATTTACACAGCACTCAAATGTAGATGCCCAGTTGCTTTCAAAACTGTATGACAGATCATTGCACCACAAAGTTTACTATCTAAAGGCTCGACCCTGCAAGCTGTTGTGTGCCTGCTGTGAAATGCTTGGGAGTTGAAGGGGCTGCAGAGGATTGGACCTTAAATACAATCAAATACAGTGAACAATGTCAGAGGCAAATAGTGCTAGGCAGGAAGGGAGAGGGTAACAATGAATAAGACCACATGCTTTACTTTTCAGAGTAGCAGCCGTGTTAGTCTGTATCCGCAAAAAGAAAAGAAGGACTTGTGGCACCTTAGAGACTAACCAATTTATCTGAGCATACGCTTTCGTGAGCCACAGCCCACTTCATCGGATGCATGCAGTGGAAAATTCAGTGGGGAGATTTTATATACACAGAGAACATGAAACAATGGGTGTTACCATACACACTGTAACGAGAGTGATCGGGTAAGGTGAGCTATTACCAGCAGGAGAGAAAAAAACAAACCTTTTGTAGTGATAATCAAGGTGGGCCATTTCCAGCAGTTGACAAGAACGTGTGAGGAACAGTAGGGGGGGAATAAACATGGGGAAATAGTTTTACTTTGTGTAATGACCCATCCACTCCCAGTCTTTATTCAAGCCTAAGTTAATGGTGTCCAGTTTGCAAATTAATTCCAATTCAGCAGTCTCTCATTGGAATCTGTTTTTGAAGTTTTTTTGTTGAAGAATTGCCACTTTTAGGTCTGTAATCGAGGGACCAGAGAGACTGAAGTGTTCTCCAACTGGTTTTTGAATGTTAGAATTCTTGACATCTGATTTGTGTCCCTTTATTCTTTTACGTAGAGACTGTCCAGTTTGGCCAATGTACATGGCAGAGGGGCATTGCTGGCACATGATGGCATATATCACATTGGTAGATGTGCAGGTGAACGAGCCTCTGACAGTGTGGCTGGTGTGATTAGGCCCTATGATGGTGTCCCCTGAATAAATATGTGGACACAGTTGGCAACGGGCTTTGTTGCAAGGATAGGTTCCTGGGTTAGCGTTTTTGTTGTGTGGTGTGCGGTTGCTGGTGAGCATTTGCTTCAGGTTGGGGGGCTGTCTGTAAGCAAGGACTGGCCTGTCTCCCAAGATCTGTGAGAGTGATGGGTCATACTTCAGGATAGGTTGTAGATCCCTGATGATGCATTGGAGAGGTTTTAGTTGGGGGCTGAAGGTGATGGCTAGTGGCGTTCTGTTATTTTCTTTGTTAGGCCTGTCCTGTAGTAGGTGACTTCTGGGTACTCTTCTGGCTCTGTCAATCTGTTTTTTCACTTCAGCAGGTGGGTACTGTAATTGTAAGAACGCTTGATAGAGATCTTGTAGGTGTTTGTCTCTGTCTGAGGGGTTGGAGCAAATGCGGTTGTATTGTAGAGCTTGGCTGTAGATAATGGATCGTGTGGTTTGGTCTGGATGAAAGCCGGAGGCATGTAGGTCAGCATAGCGATCAGTAGGTTTCCGGTATAGGGTGGTGTTTATGTGACCATTGCTTATTAGCACTGTAGTGTCTAGTACTTTACTTTGTAAAGCTGCGTATGCTTGTTAGTTCCCATCCTCCCCGTCCCCCCTGTCCTCCACCCCCCAATTAGTTGCACTTTTCATCTCCTCTTCAGTTTGAGAACACAGAGTCAAGCCTGAGGGCAGAGGCAGATGACAAAGGAGTGGAGGTCAGTGGTTGAAGGCTAACTGGGGGAGGTGAGTGTTGAGAAAAAGGATGAAGGGTGATCGAAGCTACAGTGATTCAGGCAACTGGGAGTATTTGCCACCTAGCTGTCCACATTGTTTTGTCTGTAGTTATTTGAAATGGATCCAATTTTAGTACATGGCTTGGTTTTGTACAAATAAAAGGAATACTTTCGAGGGTGTCTGTGGAAATTCAATGTCAAAATTACCATGAACTGGCTTTAAACAGAGGTAACATGCACAACCATCTTTGATAACAACAAAGGTAGCTTGCTCACAGTGTGTGCTCTCTGAGCTAGACAATCCCTTGCTCTTTACTTGGCTGCACAGAAAAGTGAGCCCCCACCTGGCTCAGCTGAATACAGACTGCTCAAATTGTGGCCGCAGTTGCACGGGGCGGGAGAACAGGAACGCTTGATATCTTCCCCATTATGAGCAAGTGCGAGCGGAGGAGGTGGCAGAGACCAGAGTAGCTGGGTAGGCACACAAAAGGAGTAAGCTACAACCCATAAGGAGTAAAGCAACGTATTGCCAACTCCTCCCAGAGCAAGGGGGAGCAAGGGAGGAATTGTGCTTTTCGGAGGCTCAATTCCATCGAACGCTGTGAGCGCTCCCATCAGTTTCTTTGGGCTACTAATAGTGTCAGGTACTTCCTGACTTGGGAATTGGGACCGTAAAGTAAGACAATGTTGATCCTTGGCCTGACTAGTTAGCCAGTATCTATGGCCTTGTCCGGTTATTTCCGTTAGGAGGAGAAATTCATTATATGAGTCAGGTGTTTATTTGGGGCAATCCTGTTTATTTACAAAGACTGTACATGGTGTCCTGTTTCCTGGAACATAGTAGGAACAAACACCACCAGGCAGTTTCCTTGATTACAGTTTTGCTGCTGCTTGGCATTGCATATGAGCTTAGTGCCTTGGACAGTGGCTTCTGTTTTCTCCACCTATCTTTCTCTATAGGAAAGGAGCTTAATTGCTTCTTCCATTTGACCTGAATGAAGGGTAACTAGCACAACCAACAGCTACAACAAGGTCTGGGATTGACTATAAGTCAAAGACATGCCCGATGGCAGCCGTCAACACCCTCCAGCACAACACTATGAGCATGGAAGCTGTTGCAATGCCTAAAGCAGTGACTCCTCCCTGAAACTGTTTGCAAACACATCCAAAACTGAAGCCAATGAGGGTTGCATGCATCTATCCTAAGGCCAAATGCACCTCTGAGCCAGGAAACAATCTGCTGCTTTTTCTCAAAATCACCAAAAAGGCCAAATGCCCCTTTTGGGTTAAGTGCAAAAAACCCTTTACCACCGTCTCTTCTGGTGATGCGGTATCTATCTTTATAAACAGAGCAACAAAAGACAGTTCTTATAAACTGCTTGGGATTTATTTTTTTTAAAGTTTTGTCTATTGGGACACATGAAATGGGCGTGGCCAAGAAGGATATTTCTTGGCCTTAGTGTGTGCTATGATACATGACTCAAATTGCCAGAGGGCCCATACAATTTCCTGAGAATCATTCAGAAAACTTCAGGATATTGAATGTACATTACAACAACAAAAAGACAAGCTACTTATTCCCTTTCTCCTGCACAGTATGTATATGCAACCACATCATAGATACAATCCTGGACCCCTGTATATTGTCTAATTATGTCAAAACCTCTCCCTTGAAAATGAAGGTTTCCCTTCCCCATGCCATCCAAAGTGTAGAGAGACCATTGGATTTTGAAATACAATCCCCAGGACTAGTCAGTCAATGAAAGGGAAGAAACAATGGCAAAATTCCTTCCCCTGCACTTAGAATTCCTGGAGGACAGTGCTTGCTGTTCTCACAGTTCTTTCTTTCGTATGTTTTCAAACAGTAGCACAACACACAAGAGAGAATTAAAAACAAAGTAGCCACCACAGAACATGAGAGGAAAAAAAACAAAGCAAAACAATCATACACATGCAAGCTTTATCCATTCACACACAGAAATAGAAGCTCCCCTATTCTAAGGCCTGATCTAAAGACCTGCATACAAAGGAAGTCATTTGCAGTGCACACAATAACAAGTTTTATTAGTCCTACAGATGCCAGGAACTACAACTGGTCAAAAATTTTTCCAGCAAAAGTATTTATTGATGGAAAATGTTGTTTCCCAAAATGTACATTTTCCCAGGAATATGCCAATTTTGATTACATTTTTCAAGTTTTCACTTCAATGTTTCCACATCAATATTTTTCAGGACATTTCATTTCATGAAAATGAATGACAAAATATCAAAGTTTTCCCTGGCGTGGAAATTCAATTTTCTAAACAGGTCTGCCAGGATCTATGCTATGTATTATTCTGCGCCAGCTACTGGTACCTTATCTATTAACGATTTACATGAATGCAGACCGAACATTCTCCTAGTACTTCTCAGCAAGACCCCATACAATTAATTGAGGATAGCGTCACAGTTACAGGGCTAGTTACACCTCAATCCCCTTCCTGGTAAAGTCTGTGAGTCTTTCTGAGCAAATCTCCTCAGGTTTTAGGCCTTGTACCTTTACTGGTGGCATGCTGTCTATGTATGCAATGCATGCCCATGAAAGCCCTGAATGTGACTTTCTCACCAACTGTGCCCATTGGATGAGTCCATCTGGCCCCCAACTGGGCCTGAAGGAACCGTACATGTGAGGTCATGCCTTGCATGCAAGTGTAGAATTGCATGTCTTACTAACAAACAATGTCATGGCATGTCATGGGCCTTTATCAATCCTTGGGCAGAATTCTGCAATTCTCCCACTCTTAGACCCCAGGCTACAGCACCCTGTGTATTCACTATGCTTACCTTGCAGGTCTGACTGAGTTCAGGCACCTATGATTCTTCCCTTCTGGAGTCTGTGAGCAGTGGTATACAGTGATCAGGCAGCCTTCTTAAAACAAAACAAAACATGTTATTTATTTTGCAGTAGGAACAAAGCTTTTAGAGAAAAGGTTTTTAAAACAATCTACATTCATGTCTATCTTATCCAAAAGCTCACTATTCCCTGATGGTAACCTAGCAGGCTTAACTTTTTCACACACACCCATCAGGTACCCATGTCAGTCTGACTGCCCAAACAACTGCCCCCTTTCCTGAAAGGATTCCTTTATAAACCTGCAACAGTTCTTTTGATCTGTGATCGCAGGCTTTTCCTGTCCTGGCATCATCTCTTAACAGCCCTCAAGTGTCTGCAAAGAAAGGGCTTACCTTGAGCCATTA